CAGAGCTGAAGTTCGTAACAAGAACGTGCGTGTGTCCGCATTTTATGCTTACGACGCCTCTTGCGATAGATAAACCATGGCTGAATAGCAGTGTTGGAATTTGCTCGGCGATGTTTTCAGAATCGCTCGACGTGTCACATGTCGCAGCCACGAGTGCACTCGACCGCGATGGGATGGTCACGTCTTCGAAGACGCGCAAAGGCTGACGTCGCTGGTCTGTACAGGGCACATTCGAAACTTGATCTGGGGCCGTCCAAAACTTAACCGATCTCTCAAGAATGTTGATAATGGCACCGTATTCACACAAGAACTCCATGCCCAAGATCAGGTCTTTGCAGCACTCCGGTAAATTTACGAAAGTAGCGACGAAATCTGAACTGCCGATATTAATTCGAGCTGTACATTTGCCCGTCGGCGTCACCAATTGACCTCCTGCGGTTCTTATGATTGGGCCCGTCCATATTATTCTTATTTTCTTTAGGCAGTCGGCGAGTTTACGGCTGATAATAGAGAAGTCCGCACCAGTATCTACCAGTGCTGTTATTGGGCGTCCGTCTATACAAATGTCTAGATTGGCGCTTACGATTTCCGTTGATGTCGGTGACGTCGTATCGTCCTTGGTATCGTGCGTCATACGATCCGCGGTATCATTCGTCGTATTGCGTCGTAGAGAAGATGTTGGGGGTGTGATAGCATCTCGACGGGCGGGGACCTTCCTCCCAAAGGTCGCAGCTGTTAGTTTCCCCGACGAGGGCTAGGAGATCTGCCCGGACCACCTCGGAGTAACTGCGCTGTGGCGTCGAGCTCGGTGCAGGTGAAGGAGAGCGGGGTTGATGATACGGCACTTTGGGTTACTGTGCTTGCGGGCCTGCACTGCTGTCACAGCGGTTATCGAAATAGGCACGAAGGGAGGTTCGTAGAAAGTTGTGATGTCTACGGTCACGGTACGGGCAATTGCGGAAAATATGGCCGGCTTCTCCGCAATGAAAGCAAAGTGGTCGACGATCGACGGTGCGCCACAAGTCAGTCTTACGGATGAATGGTCGACTGGTGGGCATATCTTGCGACCAAGATGCAGATGTCGGCGGAGTGTACATCGGCGCGGTTTGCATAGGCACGTTGGACTGTGGATACGACTGCGGCGGATTGGGAGCTGGGGCCCAGGGCTCGTTGTAAGGCCCTTGGCTCACGTCGCGATAAGCCAGTGGTGACGAGTTGTACGACACTGGAGTGGGTCGACGGACAGCTGATGCGTAGCTTACAGATCGCTGGTCTGAGAGCGATTCGGGCAACGAAAATGCCTGGCGGAGTTCTTGCCGCACAAATTCTGCAATGCAAGCCATGATATTTTCTTGCGGAGTCACTAGGAGGTTTCGGATCTCCTCCCGAATGACCTCACGAATGAGTTCGCGCAGAGAGCACTCACTACCGGCACTCAAAGCAGAGAGGCTGGGAGATGTTTTGTGTGGTTGGTCATGGTATCGGCGCCGTTGCTGTAGTGCTCGCTCGATTGTTGTAGCCTCTTTGACGAATTCCACTACGTTTGTTGGTGGGTTGCGTAGGAGACCGGCAAACAGCTCTTCCTTGACGCCCCTCATCAGATGTCGGAGTTTTTTACCTTCAGGCATCTCGGGGTCGGCCCGCTGAAATAGGCGGGCCATGTCTTCCGCAAACATGGCGACGCACTCGTTTGGTTTCTGTATGCGTGCCTCGATGAGCTGCAGAGCAGAATCACGGCGGTCGATGTTTGCGAATGTCCCGAGAATTTGCTGCCGAAATTCCTCCCACGAAGACAGCGTTGACTCGTGGTTCTCGTACCACGTACGAGCGCTGTCTGCCAAAGCAAAGTAGACGCGCGATAGCTTTTGTTCAGTGGGCCAGCGGTTGGCTTTGGCCACTCGCTCATACTGGGCTAACCAGTCCTCGACGTCTTCATAAGCCTCACCGTGGAAGGTCTCAGGAATTAGAGGCTGATCAACAGTAAGCTGTGAAGGCCCTCCGGTAGCCATTTCTCCTGGTACGGTGTGTTGCTGGAGAAGTTCGAGTGGGATCGCCCCGAGACTAAGGCCTCGCTGTCGGCGACTGTAGCGGTGGACAAGAGTATCCACTGCAGAAACGGATTGCGGTGGTGGACTCGATGTGCTAGGGCGCGGAGTTGTCCCAAGCATCAGTTGAAGAAGTCCAGCACCTCTACCAATGTCGCTAGGTGAAAATAACAGAATACAGGACGACGGTGCGACCAGAAAAAACGAGGTCTGTATTAACAGAACAAAAGAGCAGCCGCTTCGACTTCTTCTTCTTCGGAGGAACCGTGGGTGCTGTCCACGCTCATCACTTCATCGTCCTCTGTCTTCTTTCCCGGCCTTTAGCCGTGACAATATACTTCATCGACGCCCTGATTCCGCAGTGTCTGCATGACGGCTGATATGCAGCCGTCATGCAGCCATTATGCAAGATGCAGCTGTTATAAGAAAGAAAAGTGGGTGAAACATAACTTGCAGTGGGCAGGAACCGAACCTGCGACCTTCGAATAATGCGTTCGATGCTCTACCACTGAGCTACCACAGCATCTATCCCCCCAGCCATTTTATTGGGTATATATGTGAATTTAAACGTGGGAGTATCAGTCAGCGCCACCAGAAGCCATGGCGGCGAGTGTGGCACACTCTTTATGAGCCTGTTTGGCGTCAAGTAGCACGTGAACTTTTTACAAGCTGGCAGCTGACCACTAGTCTCTCGTATACAACCTAAAGGCACCAAGTCTGCCAGTACGAGACCCTCGTTAATGAATAAGGGAAAGAAGTGCATACTTAAGGGCTTGTTTTTTCGTGTTTTGACACCATAATAATTAAATCTAACAGACAATAATGCCAAGAAAAGTATAGGGGAAGTTAATAGGCCGCATTGTATAGTAAGCTTGAAGAAAGAAAAATGGCTGAAAAGACAACTTGCTGTGGGCAGCAAACGAACCTGCATCCTTCGAATAATGCGTTCGAAGCTCTATTACTGAGCTACCACAGCAGCTATTTATTCCTCAAGGCTTCTGGTGGCGCTGACTGACACTCTCATGTTTAACTTCACATATATACCCAATAAAGTGACTTGGTCGAAATGCCGTCGTTCCGTTTTCTCAGTCATGTCCACTGTAATCATGCGCTTGCCCTGCTGATCACGCACGATTCGGTCTTGTAGCCTGCGTTTGAGATACGATTCAAAATGGCATTTTTTTGCCAGCCGCTTTATTTTAACAATAAACTTCTGTACACTCTATGCTTCTAGTTGTGATCGAGTTAAAAAAAGCATAACTTGCCGCTATTCCGTTGACTTCTGGGGCATAGTACTCCTCGAGGTACTTAGCGGCGGCATCATAGTTGAGTGCATTTATTTGGCTTGGATTGCAGTGTCTCTGAACTACTCTAATCGCGCTATCTGGTAGCGAGGTCACTAACACTCTTGTTGGTTCGTCATGTCCATGATCTCTTGTACTTGGAAGCAGGATTCAAAGCGAATTTGGAACGTTGACGACGTTCCTTCAAACACTAGTGGCCATTCCACACTCATGGCCCTGCAGATCCAGGACTCATTGGGGTGTTCATTGTCCTCGTTGCCATTGTTACAATGTACAACACTCACTCAACAAAACATACGTGGCTCGTTGTTTACTACACATCAGCATGAGCTTCGAATAACCCGAGTTCATGCACAGCGTGAGCTCGGGTTGTGTTTGAGGGGAGAAGGAACTGTGAGATGTCAGAGGTAATGAGAGTAGTACTGCATAGGCTTTGAGGACAAGGCTAGGCTTTGGCGGGAACACAGGACAAGATGGCATGAAGTTGTGTACGCACGGTGGTGTCGTGAAATGTAAAGTGTGGGATGACAGTGAACGTTGGACCTCGGTGGTGATCGACAAGTGAGACGTGGACACTCCATTTGGTATTTTCTTGATAATTGAAAGAATCATACCCCCAGACACGTGATATTTTTTTCCTGTTGTGGGCTTGCCATCACCCTCTATAAAGTCGTTTGCAGCTAACGGTACACGTGCGTCTTGCGAATGACTCTCAGCTAGGTCTGCTGCTGAGTGAGGTGTTGCTGTGTTTCCAAAGGTTAGGGTCTGCAGGAATGCCGGCAGTGCTGCTCACGGCGAAAAGCCTAGGCCTGCGCATGTGATGCAGTAGTGAATCTCTTTTAGGTTTTGCATTGGTCGGAGATGGACTTCTCTTGTGATGGGTCAAAGGGGGATGACACCGTGATTTGTTTTCTCTGGATTTCTCATGGCTAATTGAATGTTGGGAACACCACAATCACAGCGGAACCTTGTATGAGTGTTATATTGCTCGTATTTGGTCATGTTGCTTGTGTGCTGTATTAGCATATCGAAAAATTACATAAGGTTATTTACCTTGTCACTAGTTATGTATCAGAAATGGCTGGTAATATCGTCATTGAAAAAGCAATTGCTCATTTGTTTAATGACATCTACTAGCAGTGTCCGTTTGTTCCAAGAGCTGTGATCTATTGACACCCCACACTGAATTGGTCTACTGACTCGAAGGGCACAAGTTCGATCCCGGTTGTAGCATTCACATTTCGATGGAGGCATAATGCTGAATGCTTGTGTTCTGTGTGATGTAGAAGCTCTTTAAACGATGTCAGACGGATGAAATTTTTGGAGCCTACCAATACGGCATCTGTTACAATTGCATCGTGGTTCTGGGATGCAAAAACCGAGATATAATTTTTTTCTTAACCATTTATTTGCCGAGTGTTCTTTAATGTGTTTTATGTGCGGGCCGTTGTATCTTTTTTTCACCTGGTTACCTTATTGTGGCTCACACACAGTACTTACAATAGACGTGGCACATTTGGTCTTGATGAGGCAGTATTGTGTGGTTCCACGGAACTGTGATGCGGCATTGTGCACTCATAAATACTGTGGCTGCCTGAATGAAAATTTGGCTTTGACCTGAAGGCTTGCTCTTTGGTGGTGGCTAAAACAGGAGGAAAGCAGCGAGGGTCGCCTGGCCCTGCAGGAGGCTCTGGTGGCCGTGGGTCCAGCGTACGCCGCCTGGGCCGACAACGACACTCGGCAGATGCTGCTGGCCCTGGTGTCGACGCATGGGTCCGCTTCAAGCGCCAATTGCCGACATGCGGCCCTGCGCTATGCGGCCACTGTTTACGCAGCCGACTATGCACCAGCTCGTTACCTGCTGCTCATGGCTGCCGGTGACAGGTGAGCGCCGTCGCTCCGCTTTCATTTTCGGCAAGTGAGGGGCCTCGGGTTACCCCCCCCCCCCCCCCCCCCTTGTCTGTGTGTAGATAAATCTTTTCTGGGGCTAACACCAAGGGCTAACACCCCCCACCCCCACCCCCCTAAAAAAACACATTTACCCAACATTGCAGTTTGGTTCATGTTTGATGTCAACCCATCAAAAGAAATTGAGGAATGCATTTTTAATGCATTTTTTTATTGTCCTCTTAGCTCTTTTGCAGTGTAAGCTGTTATGAGGTTACAACAGCTGTGAATTTTGGGGACAACATCATCCATTTAGGTTGCCAGGTGTTTATTAGATTAGTAGAATACCAGGTACTCGTAATAGCTCGTATGCAGACATAATGCTAGAAATAATGGTCAGCTGTGGTATCGTTCAAATAGTGAATGACTGAATACAAACACAGCACCATTGCCAGTCAACTGCTCGTTTCATAAAACTGGTTACATTCATGAATGAAGGAAAGAAGTGTAAACTTAAGGGCTTGTTTTTTTTTTTTTTGTTAGACAATGATAATGAGAACTAAAAGATAGTGATGCCAAGGAACATATAGGAGATGTTATGTAATTGTTATGTAAATGAGAAAAAGAAAAGTGAGCAAAAAAGTAACTTGCCGCCGGCACAGACCATGACATACAAATAATGCATTTCGTGGTCAACACGATATATGGATGCAGGTTAAGACGGTCCCGGTGGGAAGTTATCTTTTCATCCACTTGTCTTTCTTCTTATTCACTTTACAATTATTTATTTATTTATTGAAAATACCTTACAGGCCAGAAGGCATTGAGTAAGGGGGGTTACAGTGAAAAATCGCATGTAAATTTCAAAATAAAATTACTAGTAATAACATCTCTTATACTTTCTTTGGCATCACTGTCTGTTGGTTCTCATTGATGTTTTCAGCCGTGGTATCATCAAGACATGATATCAGACCTTAAATAAATAGTAGCTGCTCTCACCGTGATGAAGGAAAGATTCCAAACAGCCCAAACCAAAGCGCGAACAGATTCCAAAGCCCAAACAGCCTCTGAGTACATATTTCAGTGAGCTGATGGCATGTAATTTTGAACTACGTGCCAACGTGCCCCCACAGGATGAAAATGAAAGCACATCGTAACAGCACTTCTGGTGTCTCTTGTATCAGACTGTTTATCTCACTTCTTGGCCAGAAAATAAAGCAAGCAGAAAAGTACAACTCGTGGGTAACCTGCAATGTTATTCATTTAAAGCTTGTAGGGACCTCACTACTCATCGTAACGGAAGATAACCACGGGTTCAGGCTTAGTGAGCCACCTGGCCGCGTCTCTGTCACCTGCTCACGTGTAGCGCACTGCTCCGCACCCGCACGACTGACAAAGAGTCTAGCGCGACGCAGCAAAAAGCTCCTGCCACGAACATTCACGATAAAGGGAAGACCGCGAGCACGTCGCAGCTGGCAGTGGGGAGCTTTGACACGCCAGTCAGGAAAAACCCTCCGCGACTATGCTGCGCACTCTCACGATGGCCACGGAGTCTGGTTGTGAAAGTTAGGACAAACCTCGTACGTGTAGGGCTCCGGCAAGTGCGGCTTGGCATGGTATGACTACTTCAAACACTAGGCACTGCTGTTTGGCTTAGCTTATGGTAGTGAAGCTGAGACTGAGGTACACACGTTGGACGGGGATGCCTAGGTGCTAAGGCAGGCTATAATCCGGCGATTCCCAAAGCGGACGTGGACGAAGGAAAAACGCCGGCTTACCCAGCGCGCCAGCCAAGAAGGAGAGAACCTTTCCGGCGCGCACGTGATTCGGCCTCGCTGATTCTCGCAGCCCTCGAGAACATGCGCTGCGCCTACGCGCATCTATCGCCACACGCCGTTACCAAAGCATGAAAAAGAAAAGGGAGCGGCCGTACAGCCGAATTGCCTGCGAAATAGTCGCGGGCGTTCCACAGATCTCCACAAGGTATGATTGCAATGTGTATGCAAACAGGTTCCTCACATACTAAATGTGCAATGTCCGGGTTTAGCACACAAGTACGAAAAGAGCTGGAAGATGGGCAAACCTAGTTCTTTTCAATTGTACTGCTCGATTACATGGTTCACGACCCGGAAAACAAAGTTGTGGAGGTACTTGCTCTTTTTGAAGATGAGTGATACACAGTTACTGCCACGCTCCTTTTCTCAAGTTTTGTTATCGCCCCAATACACTACATAGTTCTCAGTGCAAACCGGGCCTGCAGTTTTTGAGAAGCTTCAGAACTGTAGTAGATCATTTCAATAAAATTACGCCCATTCCGCGAACTGTGCAGATAATTCTGGAACCTTTGTCACTGCTAGGGATAATGCTAGAACATTCGATGGCAAGTGTATAAATGCCGACGCGCTTCGCCGCTTGTCAATTGATCGACAGCCGACGCTGCATGCGCCGCTATCAGTGCAAGTGTGCTACCGTAACCCGACTTTCCGTTTAGCGGGCACAGGTTCGCCCAATTAAACAATTTGATTTTACCATTCCGTCTCCTGCCTTCAACCACGTCACGAGCACGTGATATCTGGTGGAGGTGCCGGGTGTCGATTCCAGTACCTCCCACTTGCCCAGCGAGGAGCTGTGAAGGAGCTGCGAAAAAGCCACCGGCAGCAAGGTCTACCACCGGAGCACGGGCCTCTGCAAGAGAAGGCGCGGAAGACCAAAGCCATGACCTCTACTGTGGTGACATTGACAACTGCAGCGTCCCAGCCCGCAATCGTCATGCATCATGCACCCAGGGAACCACCAACTTTCCATGGGTCATCGTTCGAAGACCCGGAGACCGCGCTAGAAACATACGATTGCGTGGCTGCCCTCAACCACTGGGACACTGAAGAAAAGCTCCATTGTGTGTACTTCTACCTGGAAGACACCGCAAGGACCTGGCTTGAAAATCGGGAGTTTGCGCTCGAAACATGGGATGTCTTCAGTGGCGCATTCCTGCAAACGTTCGCGAGCGTCGCTCGCAAGGAGAGGGCCGCTGCTTTACTAGAGACCCGGGTTCAGCTACCAAATGAAAATGTCACCATTTTCACAGAGAAATGACTCTCCTATTCCGTCACGCTGACCCGGACATGCCTGAGGAAAAGAAAGTTCGTTTCCTCGTGCGAGGGGTCAAACAGAAGCTCTTCGCGAGACTGATGACGAATCCACGGAACACCGTCCAAGAATTTGTAGCCGAAGCGACCACTATTGAAAAGATTCGGGACATGCGCACCAGACAGTATAATCGTCGCCTGACTCCAGATTGCGCTGCTGCTCAAGCCATTGACTCCAAAGCCCTGCGTGAAACGATCCGAGCAATCGTGCGGGAATAGCTGCGCAAGCTGTTGCCTTCGGCGCAGCCGCAAGTGGATTCGATCGCCGACATTGTGCGAGAAAATCGGAAATCACTTCTAATTACCCAAGCACCACTGCCCAAGCTGGAAGCTATGAGCTAAGCTGCTGCAGTGTGCCGCAACGCTCCTCCCCGTCCACGCCAAAACACGACCCCGCGACCCCCACTGATGTCGTACCCTTTGCCAGCGGACCAGCGCAGTGCGCCAAGGAAAACCGACATTTGGCGTGCACCTGACAACTGCTTGTACTGCTACCACTGCGACGAGGTTGGGCTCACCTACCACCGTTGCCAGTACCAACAGATGGGACTGTGTGGCTTCGCTGTCAATGCACCACGTCCGTAGCCAGGGAGACGGCCACGTGACATTACCGACTACCTGACAGGAACTCAATGGACTCCACGAAGTCCTTCCCATTTGCCGTTGCCCAGCCGCCGCATGTCACCACACCACCGGCAGTACTCTGGCCCAGTGCGAGGCCGGTCTCCCAGCCCGTATTCAGGAAACTAAGGGCAGCAACTGATAGAGGTGCGGTTGCTGTGCGACCAACTTCTGAAGATCCTCCGTCGACAACGCCGCGACGGAGCATTCTGAACACTACGCCAATCAGGCAAAGTCCTGACGTTGAAACCTCACTTACCGAAGGTGACCTGACGAGGCAACATGGAAGCAGCGGAACAAGCCGACGCAGCCGTGATCCGAAGCCACGCCCTAACTGCAATGCGAGACAGCGAACTAGCGACCTCTACGTTCTTATCGACGGCCACAGTGTGACCGCTCTCATCGATACTGAAGCCGACTATTCCGTCATCAGTGGATCGTTCGCCGCGAAGTTGAAGAAAGTTAGGACAGCTTGCGAAGGCCCCGAAATCCGCACAGCCGGAAGTCATCTCGTAACGCCGGCAGGAATCTGCACAGCAAGAGTCACCATTAATGGCCGTATTTATCCTGCAGACTTCGTAGTCCTGCAGCGTTGCTCGAGAGATGTCATCCTTGGCATGGACTTCTTATGCCTCCATGGTGCAGTCATCAACCTAAGAACAAAGTCGATAACGTTATCCACAGAAGAAGCACTACCGCCACGCACGCCGTCGGAAAACCACGCCTTGAATGTGCTGGAAGATAAGTCACCATTTTGCCTCGCTCCAGCGTCATTACTTCAGTCGGTGCTCCTAAGTTACCTAACTTGGAAGGCGTCATTCAAGGCAGTCAGCATCTATTAGTTACCCGCAATATTTGCGTTACAAGAGGAATTGCAGAGCTGTGAAGAGGCAAAGCAATAGTTATGCTCACGTATTTCAGCAGTGAGTACAAACATGTAAACAAAGGAACGGCAGTCACATACATAGAAAAAATTGTGGAAGGCACCAGTGCTTTCGCCCTCGCTGATTCTGCTGAACCTGCTCAGAGGAACCAAGCCCCTCCCTCAGCTTTCGACGTCAATCCCAGCCTTCCGAACCATAAGCAAGAACAGCTCAAGACCCTGCTTCTGCAATACAAAGATTGCTTTTCGTCGTCATCGAAAACTCGGCAGACCCCAATCACGAAACATCGCATCATAACCGAGGAAAATGCCAGAACACTCCGTCAGAGTCTGTACAGGGTTTCAAT